CACAATAAATAATTTAGATATTGTCAAGCAAAACATGCATTACCTGATAAGGGAGCATTTCCCTTTTATTAACCCCTAATGGTAATTAGCTACTTACATTACTAAGAGAGCTTCTCACCTTAAAAACTTGCACATTGATTTGCTTTGAACAGAACAAACAACAAAAAACCTCAAATCCTGTGATATTGTCAACATTGAGCCTGACAATGCAGAAGCCAGAACTTCTTTGAAGATAATAGCTCCCATTTCCCCATTAGTGTTGTTTAAAAGTTTAAATTCCTACACTGAGATTTTACTAAATTTCTCGGGTTTGTTTGCATGTTTACTTCAGGCACACGCTGAAAGTGGAAGCTCAGAACTGTCATTACCTGCTCACCTGGAAGTCCAGCCTCTCACACAGACCAATTCCAACATCCTTTCAGATATTATACACTTCCTTGACACCCAGAACTATGACCTAGTTGAAAACACCCCAAGTCAGATGTTCTGAGAATCCCATTCATACATAAAAATACTCTTGTGGTTCCTTCCAGCCACTGGGAGAAAAAAACCCCAACTGTCTCCAGTAACCACAGAAATCACCTCAATAGAAACGTGCAATGCACACCAAACGTTTTGAAGTCACAGGCCTGTTAGCATTCTGGTCAGGACTAAGTATATTAGGCATCACTCCAGCCTGGGTAGCACTAAGGAGACTGCTGTCTCGGGGGATATTTGCATAATGAGGTACCCCAGCAGCCGAGGAGATGTGCACCTGATACTTCAGGACACGTGGTGGGCATATGTGGGAGCATCAGAATCAGAGATACACAATTCCCATCCTCCCCCAGAGTTGCAGGCAACACCCATGATGAGGGCAAGGCGTGGACAGTCTGCTTTAACTCACATATGGGTATGGGCAGAGGAAGACATTCTTTTCTCCCTTCTCTTTTGGTATCCAGCTGCAAGGAAATGGCAAGACACAAGTCTGAACACGCAGATCATAGAGTCATAGAATGGCTTGGGTTGGCAGGGACCTTAAAGGCCATCCAGTTCCAACCCTGCTGCCATTGTCAGGGATGCTACTCACTAGACCAGGTTGCTCAGAGGTCCATCCAACTTGACCTTGAACACTTCCAGGGATGGGCTATCCCCAGCTTTTCTGGGCAAACTGTTTCAGTGTCTCACCATCCTCACAGGGAAGAATTTCTTCCTAACATCTCCTCTCAACCTGCTATCTTTCAGTTAAAAGCTATTGTGCCTTGTCCTGTAACTATCTGCTCATACAAAAAGCCCTCTCCCTCCTTTCTATAAGCCCTTTTTAGGTCCTGGAAGGTGCTGTAAATTCTCCCCAGAGCCTTCTCTTCTCCAGGCTGAAAAAGCCCAACTCTCTCAGCCTGTCTTTCTATAGCAGAGGTGCTCCAGCCCTCTGAGCATCTTTGTGGCCTCCTCAGAACCTACTCTAATAGGTCAATGTCTTTCTAATGCTGAGGCCCCCCAGACATGGACAGACAAGGGATGCAAGAGATCCCTAGAAACTTCCACGAGGGACATAGTCATTCCAGAATAAGGATGCTGGGTGAAGCCTGGTACCACTTCTAATTTTATCTTGAGAAGATCCCACTGGTCTGCCTGAGAGGAGCTAAAGAAAGAAAGGAAATTTCAGCTGTAGCCACAATAAAGCTAGAGTATTAGTTCCAGGAATACCTCTACAAAGACCACAACAACAAATGATGGATGTTCCAGAAGAAAAGTACATAGTGTCGTGGAACTATTTTTAATCTTCAATACAAAATACAGTCTAGTGAGTCACTGGCACAGGTTGCCCAGAGAAGCTGTGGTTGCTCCATCCCTGGAAGTGTTCAAGGCCTAGCTGGATGCAGTGTGACTGTGGAAAAGGAACAAAGATAATTCAGGTACTGTCCACTCTAATGCAGTGATCTAAACCCAAGATCATTCTTATTCTCTTTATAACTGATAACTGATACTGATAACATTGTGTTATTTGTAGTTCATTTAGGGAGGTCTTCATTGCCCATACCTTTTCTATGTGTTATTACTCAAGCATCTGGTTGAATTTTTTTTTTTTGATGCATTAGCACAAATTTGAAGGAAATATGTAGGTGGTGAGCATAATGCTTCCAATTGAACTGCACTAGCAAGCACACACCACAGTAGTTTAGGGATTAAAAATAGGATCATTTGGATGTGTGGATTTGAATATGATTTATGGATCACTTCCAGAGACATTATTGTTGCTTATCATTCAGATGGCTGTAAAAGTGAAGACTGTGAGGGAAATCATGCAAGAGATACATTGCCTGCAGAATGGAGAAAAACATTAAATCTTGAAGTTGCTGATGCAGCAATTAATATTGCAACCTTCACTGCCTCCAATGCACAGAAGAAAAGGGTAGGATAGCCTAGACACCTGCTTCCCATAAATAACTGATCTCAAGACTTAAAGGGAGAGACAGGCCTAAACATTGCACACTAAAGCCCCTTTGCCTTTCATCTTGGAGGAAATGTTTAAAATAGTAGACACTGGTGTAATCAGGAGTTTGTACTCAGGGCTCTCAAGTTGCACTCGCTGAACCTACAGGCCTAAAAGAGTGCAAAATATCAGGGCAACCACACATTCAGCAGGGAGGAGGCTCTGTGTTGTCCTGCTGCTGTGTGACCAGGACACTTGGTGTCTAAAGATCTCGACTACAGAAGCAATTACAGAGGATCACAACTTTCCACAGCTGAAATTCAAAGGCAACTATTTAGACAACTACAAACATTTTTAGTGACTTTTTTTTCTTTTGTTGCTTTGGTCCATCCAGAGCAGACTATAAGTGCCAAACAAAAGGAAGTACTGGCAAGTACTGGTTCTCCTTAGTTTGCTTTAAACAGTGGGCTAACTCCACTGGTTTTAGCAAAGCTCACCCTGATTTACCACACCATAAGTGAAACTAGGATCATGTTGTTCATGTTTTATGTCCATCACTGTGAGGACAAAAAAAAAGTGTATCTGACCAAGTTGCCTGAAATGAGACCTTTGCTTTGGCATACCTTTTCTGACATGATGAAAAAGGTTGTAAAGCACATTAATTCCTCAAAGCAGCTGATGTGTGGACACAGTCAACTCCATACAGAAACCAGTAGATTTAAATATACATGCAAATACATGTATGCAAATAATTGTCAGAATAAAATCTCAGATGCATTTGACCAGCACATCAATATCCTTACCTCCTTAATGGATGCTGTTTTGCTGAGAAAATGATGGCTCCTTAGCCAGCAGTCATGGTTACTCTTAAATAATTTCTTTTTCAACTATGAGTTCATAAAGTTCAAATGAGACTTTTTTAACCTCACACATTTGCTATTGGTGAGTTCGTTAATAAAAGTAATTATCAATATTCTCACAGAACTGGAGTGAAAATTTAAACTCTTTGGTGTGCAGAGAAAAATTGTGCATGTTCACCAAGAAATTTTATTTCTTTTGAGAAATGTCCCGATGACTGTAAAGTTAATAAGCCACTTCCAAAACTGAAAAGGGAAGGCCCTTGAGAGAGGGAAATAGACTTTGCTCAAAAACATGAAGTATAGCTGTCTCATAACCAGCCGTGAAGGTCAGAAGTTAATTAAGGAATGCATGTTTGCAAACTTTTAATTAAAGGGGCCAGTGTGCTAAGAGGGCAATCTAAGAATGAAATACAATAAAAAGCCTAATTCAGCCTTACTGTAGATCTCCACTGGTGTGACATGTTTGGGAAACTGGAGTGTGTACAATTGGATGGACAAGGTTAATTGTGGTATAACCAGGATTATCCATAGTCATATTATCCATAGTGTGGATATCAGTACAGGACACAGTACAATACATGCGGATGTAAATACACCAAACTTCACTCTAACTACCTTCCTAGCGCCCAACAGTACAACCCTGATGTGAACTCAAACATTGTCAGTTTTGACCTGCCTCTTCCAGCAAGATCAGGCTCAGCAACACATCAATGTGATGAACTCTGTATCTGGTGGATTTTTGGATTAATGAGGACATCCAATCTTCCTGAGGTGTGAAGAGAAGAAGCTCAGAGTAGTCACCCCCTTGCGCAGAGACGGGGAGCAGCACAGTCCCAGCTGCTCCAAAGCAAGTGAGTGGAAAGCAAGTGGCACGCTTTGGGAACTCTGTATCTTCAGCTGTACCCAGAGTACACCACTTCTGCTGGCTGCATTTTAAGGGGCTGTCGTCTGACCAATGATCTGCTGGGCACATTTTCCTCAGTTCTGATGCCAATCGAAACAAAAAGTGTACCTCCCTCAGCAGAATGTCTAGAGTTTTGTTCAAATTAGGGCTGAAGTGTTTGGCCAACAGATAGCAAAGGGCTGCACACCCAGCACAGAGGACACAAGACCATCAGGAAGGCTTCCCCCACTCTAAAAAAAAACTAACAAAAAACCCAACCAACCAACCAAAATCCCAAACCAAAACAAACAATAAAACCCCAACAATCAAAACCAAAAAAAAAACCAAAACCAAAAACAAACAAAAACAAATTAAAAAATTAAAAAAAAAAAAAAAAAAAACAAAAAAACAAAAAAACCCCCCACAAAACAATACAGCGGGGAGCAGCACAGTCCCAGCTGCTCCAAAGCAAGTGAGG